GTTATAATAAAAGTGTTGCCTCTAAAGAATAATGTCCGCGACTCAGCTGGACTCACTACACATGTATCATGAGCACAACTTGCGATTTTAAAAGGTTAAATTATACATTGTATTGTACAGTACTTCACAATAACTACTGAATTTAAATAAAATAAGCAGCCAAAGAGTCTGTGATGTCCAATTAAAACCTGAAATATGTTTTGGGTTTTCAGGAGTGTTATATAATCTCCATATATATAAAAGGCAAAGTTGTGAATGTGTGTCTGTTCAAAATGTTTAGACTACTTCCTGACATGCAACAAACTAGAAATTTGCCATGTGGGTACTTTCCAGACTGTACACCATGCAAAAATTATGAAAATACACTTTTTTTGGGGGGGGAGCTCAATAATGGATATATTTTTTGCACAGCAAGTGAGCTGTGACGTCAAATCTATCATGTGACCCACTACACTACGCGTTGTAGTGTAGTGGTTAGCGCTACGCTGCGCTACGAACCCGGCGACCCGAGTTCGATTCCCGCTCGCGGCCACCACCGGTGACGATTATTTTAACCGGTCCTGGGCCTCCCCTAGGTCGACTCAGCCTCAAACGAGTAACTGGTGTGGTGTGTCAACATCGCCACTGGGGAGACAAAAGCGGCCGGGCGTGGTGCTGGCCACCCACCCCCTCGTGTGCCGTGCCGGCCTTCATAGGTGCTGCTCGCTAACAGCACTTGCCCCTACAGGCTACACGGCGGATTTTGTATTCATCTGTGTGTGGGGGGGGGGGGGGGGGGGCCTGCGTAGCGATTCGCTCGCTGCGCTACGAACCCGGCGACCCGAGTTCGATTCCCGCTCACGGCCACCACCGGTGACGAGTATTTTAACCGGTGCTGGGCCTCCCCTACGTCGACTCAGCCTCAAAACGAGTAACTGCTGTGGTGTGTGAACATCGCCACTGGGGAGACAAAGGCGGCCGGGCGTGGTGGATCCAAGTCCCGAGCAAAGCCGGGTAGTACAGCTAGTTCATATATATACTGTACTGCAGTTCATTCAAAAACAACGAGTGCATTTTATACTCTGCGGCTTTTCCACAGAAATAATCGTATGTCAAAGTGAAGGTTGACACACGATGCTCCGAGAAGCATATCATGTTTTGTCATGTCCGTGCTTGTCCAGCCACGGCTGAGAACTTGGATTAATCCCATTGTTTGGTTCAAAGGTCCCAGCATTGAACATGTAATGGGCTGGGTCTAAAGACTGGGCACGATTATTTATACCTCATAATGCGCCCTTTATGTGTGCGTGATGCGTACGTGTAGTCGCAGTAATAATAATACTTTGCACTTATAAGGTGCCTTTCACAAAGAGTCTCAAGGCGCCCTTTGTCGATCCATTGCTGGGTGAGATCATCCCATGGCTATGCAGGTCTTTTATTTGACCATCCTTCACCAAGATGGTCAGTGCACATGGTAGAGGTGGGGAGCATTGGTTTTTAGAGTACAATCATGGATTTGTTTTTTGCAACCTAACCTGCATCAGTGCAGCCCTATGACAACCTGTATGTGCATTGTGGCCACTTATCCAATCACCATCCAGGCCAAAACCTGACTAGCTTAAGAGACCTGACAAGGTCTGGTGCATTCTGATTGCTCTTATAACAGGTGTTTGTCTTCGAGGATCTTAAACAGCGTTATTCAGTTGTGTTTCTTGAATGGGCACTGAACTATTACGGTGGTGCAATATTTTAGATAACATGAAAAACAATTGGCATAATGTAACACCGCCCACAGAATTTTACATTACATATTAGACAGCTGTTATGATACTCAAGTAAATACAAATTTGGTAGCACATTTCCAGGGCACTGCACCTCAATGAATATGCATATAATTATAGAGGATTAGAGCAGAGCTTCCAAATTCAGGATCAGCTATTAATAAATGCGTTTGCTGAGTAGAAAACATCCATCAACATGAATGTGCGTATTATTTAATCAATTACCATACCGAGTGCATGGTGGTAAGCTATCCAATACTTTCTCAGATAATGTTTGAGTTGGCAACAAGAGAAAGACAAATATTGTTGAAGGTAATGTCTCATGCAGTCCAACGTCGCATATGTGACCATCATATTCACCGTGACCAATTAACCACCCTCACTCAGTGCAGTACATGGTATTACTGTAATTTTCTATACGGTACTTCATCACATATCCAACCTTTTCACATACCCGCAGACACCTCCGTCCCCAGCAAGTTATATGTGGCAGGGTATTGCACAACAAACGCTTGTAAATTCTAAACATGGCAGTGGACAGGCAGTGACCTGAGGTATGGCACGGGCTCTCGTAAGTTCAAGACGCTGCATGGGGTGCATGCAGGGGCTGCATTGGTCACATAGCAATGTGCACACCGACATGTCCCAGAGGTTCTGCATTGTGAACCATGTGTGCCGACATGCCGCTAAAAAGGGTGTGGCCAAACCCGATATATGCCCGCCGTATAACATCTGACCTGAAACACAACCCTTCACGCGCAGGCTCAAATCTGCCGGTGATGTTTCTGAAAACAAGTCCTCTTCGCTATATTGGATGACTGTAGTGTGAATTTTTTGAGTGCTGTGTAACCACACATGCATGACTGGATTAGGGTATAGTCCGCATATGGACCCCTTAGTTGACAAAGAATCTCTCTCTGTTGGGGGCATGATGCATCAGGAGTAGTTGAACAATAAGACCACCTGCACATGCCAGATTCGTGCCAAAGTGGAAGAACCACTTTTGAAATGTACAATGCACAGATGAATCATACAATTCTCAATGTGTACAGTTATTTTCCATGCCAATACGTCGTCATATTGTGACACTTAGGTCAGTGGATAGAAATGATGGAAGACTTAAAAATACCTAGAGTAATGGTCATCAAACCATGCATATTCGAATTACGTGCTAAAGTTATTGAGGCAGAAGTTGTGCCGCAGTGGTTAGCACAATGCACTATGAACCAAGCCACCAGCGGTAGATTTCCTGGACATGGTTAACAAGAGTGGTGAGTGATATCTGGGCAAGTCCTGCACTATGAACCAAGCCACTAGCGGTAGATTTCCTGGACATGGTTAACAAGAGTGGTGAGTGATATCTGGACAAGTCCTGCACTATGAACCAAGCCACTAGCGGTAGATTTCCTGGACATGGTTAACAAGAGTGGTGAGTGATATCTGGACAAGTCCTGCACTATGAACCAAGCCACTAGCGGTAGATTTCCTGGACATGGTTAACAAGAGTGGTGAGTGATATCTGGACAAGTCCTGCACTATGAACCAAGCCACTAGCGGTAGATATCCTGGACATGGTTAACAAGAGTGGTGAGTGATATCTGGACAAGTCCTGCACTATGAACCAAGCCACTAGCGGTCGATATCCTGGACATGGTTAACAAGAGTGGTGAGTGATATCTGGACAAGTCCTGCACTATGAACCAAGCCACTAGCGGTAGATTTCCTGGACATGGTTAACAAGAGTGGTGAGTGATATCTGGACAAGTCCTGCACTATGAACCAAGCCACTAGCGGTAGATTTCCTGGACATGGTTAACAAGAGTGGTGAGTGATATCTGGACAAGTCCTGCACTATGAACCAAGCCACTAGCGGTAGATTTCCTGGACATGGTTAACAAGAGTGGTGAGTGATATCTGGACAAGTCCTGGACCGACCCCTCTCCTTTTGGAACCCACATTGAACAGTGTGGTTAAATACTGGCAAATAACATTCACGACTGACATGGCATGGGGAGTTTATGTTTATCCAGTCGTCAACCGACAAAGGGTTCCAATTATTTAATTACTTACAACTTAAATTGCAACTGCAGATATACATGTGGTATACTTAGAAGACCTACAGTATTTGTAATCAATTCGCGATTTTTTTTTACTTAGTAATAATATAGGAATTGAAAAAACAAATACAGATAAAGTTTATCTTCACAGTTTTTTGACAAGGAATGCAAGAATGGCTTATGGTTTAAAATCTTATATTTCATAAACATGTGAGTGAAAATACACATGAATGGATGCTTATGAGATTGTTCATGCATACTCTCCACATGAAATAAGTATGAACACCAAGCATTATTTTTGGTGAAAACAAATGCTAGATACTCTGCTGAAGCAGATACAGTATATTTCTGCATCACTTACCAAACATCTCGGCACATATACTACATTATGAAATCTATATTTCACTTTGTCAACAGCCAGCACTTTTACATTTTAGCTCCACTCCAGGGCGCAGAGCATTGGGAATGCCACCATGCAGTTGTATCGAAAAATAACAGATGCTTTTACTTAAGCTTGTAACTGCTTCTTACCAAAAAGGAAAACAAGCCAAAAACTCAATGTGGAAAAAAAGCATATTTGCATTGCAATATATCAATATTATACATGTACAATAAATGTTTTATGCATTCACTATATATTTTTTATGTAATATATCACAACTGACCATTTTACGTTTTGCTATATTTTCCAAACAGATTTGGCGACAATGCATCCAGACATCTGAATGTTCCTTGGTGTGCAATCATTGAACAGAACAGCTGTAGAGGCTCACTTGGAAAGTTAATTTATTGCAGTGTTTAACAAAACATAAAAAATACTTTATGAAGTCCCTAGATCAGTGTTGCTCAACTCCAGTCCTCATAACAAGGGGGGGGGGGGTACAGGAGGTCATTTGGATTGGAGTTGAGTAAACACTGCCCGAGAAGAAGCAGGCAGCAAGGTGGCTAGCTATCACAGGTGGCATATATCAACTTAAGACACTTACCGCGTGCCAATAATAGCGGGCCTATTTTAGTAGAGATACTTTAAACTTGAAAATGAATTTGTATCCATGTATAGATTCTAATCGTGTGCATTCAGTGCCACGGGAGTCCTTTTGCTTGCGTTTCCAACATTTTGACACACGATAGCCTGACAAGGATGTAATGTGTCCATTCCGGGGGGGGGGGGGTGGGGGATTACCTTTGCAAATGAAGCATTTGATGTGAAAGTGGCGATCCTGCACACGTAGTGCCTCTCCCTTGCAGGGCTCCGAGCATTTGTGGCACAATATGGGCGGCTTGTCCTTGCCCGAGGTTGGGGGCTGGGCTGCATCTTGCTTCGGGGCCACTGTGGAGTTAAGCATCATGAGAGGGGGCCAGAAGAAGGTGTTACAAATGAGTACATTTTTTGTAAAGTAGCCTTTTAAGCTGGTAACAAATCACCCCGCATTGTCAAAAGTAGTCAAGAATCTTCTTTTAAAAACGTATTTAAATCTAAATTATTCACAACTATTTAAATAAATGGGGGGGAGAATGTTAATCTCTTCAGAAAATGCTGATGGAAAAAAAAGATATTTCATCGTAAATTCCTGAGACTATGACGCGGAATGTGAGTGGAGCGCATGTCATACTTTGAGAATACTATTACCACCACGCGGCTGACCTCATAGGGGTACAAAGCATTGCCCGTCAGTTTCCACGCATGACGAATTTGATGTCAAGATGTTACAATGCCTCGAAAAATATGACAAACAGGTGGCAGAGTTAACCCCGCAAAGGGGTTGGGAGAAGAAAACGTGTTACCCTGGCTTCCGTGGGGAAAACAAATAAACAGCCCGGCCACTTTGGAGAATTCAGATTAAACCCTTGTGAAGGCTTCATAGTCACAACAACAGCCCCAAACTATGCCTTGGTGATCTGATTAAGCCATACAGTCCACAGACTTAGCAGGTGATGGCTCCACAGACTTCGATCACAGTGGGGTAATTGTATTCACCTGCACTGCACCGATAATTTGGAACGCAGTCCTGCGCATGTCAATAATTCTGCAAGTGGACCTACATCTTCACACTGGCTTTATCAGAATGATTAATATTTTATTGCTACAGGAGACTACTGCTTTGTTGCATTTTTTTATATTTTTCTGTTCAATATCATTGCGTCTCATTCATTTATCTCCCCTGAGATTTCGTTCAACCCGGGAGCTCAATATAAGAATACATTATTTGTAATAATTCTGCGACCGAACATTTATCACATTTCATCTTCAAGTATATCAAAACTCTATGCATAAATATACACGGTGGTGGCATTCGAGATCGTGGTTGCTTAGGGTATCAATCTAAATCATAATAATTTTAGAGCCGCTTGTAGATCCACTGCCGAATGACAGCCTCGACCATGCCTCTCAGTCATGGGGGTTGTTTGGCCATACTTAACCAGACTGGTCCGTATGGGTTGGTGAAGGGTAGGCCAATTCCGGTTCCAGGTTCATAAATCCCTCGACCGATGTTATCTGTGGCGGCGGAATCAAACTCAGCTTTGCTGGGTTCATAATGTGATGTGCTGACCTTTAAGCCACCACCCCACCAACAGAAAATATTGGGGGAGGGGCAGGGGGCACAAATAATGCATTTTACAGGTACCCCCTAACTACCCATAACAAAATGGTCAGAAGCATCTCTTGAAATGCTGCCTAGGGCTCTTTCATTGTAAACCCAGCACCTGAGCCAAAACAACGCATGGTTGTGTTGACAGATGTAGTAAATACAAGAAATTGCTTGTGTCTACTGATGGTTAAAATGTCACTGTACTTGGGGGGAAATAATATCAGAATGTTAAAATGTATCTTCATCGGAGATAAGAAAGCCTTTTAAATAATGTAATGTTGCAGATCGAATCCCTACTATAGGGAAGAAGCAAAACCATGCAGGAGAATAGATTCGCCAAATGTCATTAGAGGATTGTATTGGATTCTCATCAAATAAATGCATGTGTACATTATTCAGGGGTGCAGCAATTTCTCACCCCTCATATATTGTAAAAGACAGGGACCACAAATGCAGTTTCCTGTAAACATAAAAATGATGGTGTTGTATGTACCGTAAGTTATTATCTCATGCCAATTAATGTAAATTTTTTGTTGTCGAATTCTGACACTGAAATGTAGAGTCAAATAGTTAAATTGGGAGCTCGTAAAACACAAAATAAATATTATTGTACCGTCAAAGCTGCTCTTAAGGTGATTTTTGACAAATATTGATCAGTGAAGAGTTGTAAATTGGCAAATGCATTTGTCACAACCACAATTTATTATGTTAGACTAATTTCTTAAATTTGAAACAAATTTTAAAACCATTCATGAGGTAATCTCCATATATATAAAAGGCAAAGTTGTGAATGTGTCTGTTTAAAATGTTTAGCCTACTTCCCGACATTCAACAAACTTGAAATTTGCCATGTGGGTACTTTCCAGACTGTACACCATGCAAAAATTATAAAAATACACTTGTGTTTTTTTTGGTGGGGGGAAGCTCAATAATGCATATTTTTTGCACGGCAAGTGAGCTGTGACGTCAAATCTGTCACGTGACCCTCGCATGTGGAAGCGTAACGCATTGTAGTGTAGTGGTTAGCGCGCTGTGTGTGTGTCTGTGTGTGTGTGTCTGTCTGTGTCTGTCTGTGTGTGTGTGTGGAAGCGTAACGCATTGTAGTGTAGTGGTTAGCGCGCTGTGTCTGTCTGTGTGTGTCTGTCTGTGTGTGTGTGTCTGTGTGTGTGTCTGTGTGTGTGTGTGTACCGGGGGAATCTCCATATGGTACAGATATAATGGGAGGCTGATCGATGCCCGGGTGCGGTCAAGGGATGGCTCCCTATTGCTCAACCACGTTATGTATGCCAATGATTTGGTAATAGCTGCTCATTCAGAGGAGGAGTTGGAGACGCTGCTGCTGAGACTGGAGCGTGCCACTAAGAGATGGGGCCTTACCATCAGCCCCACCAAAACTAAGCACCTGCCTGGGTATTTTGTACCATCGGACACTCCACCCCCACAACTCCCAATCGGTGATGGGGCAGTTGTGGAGAGAGTGGAGAGTTTCCCATACCTGGGCAGTGTGCTTATGACTGGCTCCAGTTTAACAGCAGAGGTCTCACTCCGAATCAGTCGAGCGGCAATATCTTTTCATCGGTTGCGTAACGCTGTGTGGAAGCTACCTGGTCTGTCGCTCCGCACTAAGCTTCAGGTCTTCTCAGCCACGGTCATTCCCTCCCTTCTCTACGCTTGCAAAACGTGGACCCCCCTAATGGAACATCTTCGCCGGCTAGAAACATTTAGGCTGGCCTGCCTACGCTCCATCCTGGGTTTAACCAGACTGGATTGTGTGAGGAGCTCACAAATCCTTGAAAGATCTTGGCAAGGTCCCATCGGTGAGCTCCTCCGGCGGGCAAGGCTGCGATGGCTGGGTCATGTAGCCCGCATGCCCAGCCACCGCACGCCGAAACAGCTTTTGTTCGGCCGGATCGAGGGGGATAAACGGGCGCGGCATGGGCTAGAGAAGAGATGGAGTGATGTGGTACAGGAGGACATGGAGCTGAGTGGACTTGCCGATGACTGGTACCAGCGGTGTCAAGATCGGCCTCTGTGGAGGAGGCTCGTGAAGGACGCTACTGGGCAGTTGGAGGTAGTCGCCCTCCAACAACAACGGAGGGCGGAGGAGCGACGCTCACAACAACGAGCGGAGTGCCGGGTGGCTAAAGCACAGCAGGTTGGCACAGTAGGGGGCACAGGTGGTGCATCAGCCAGTCATCTCAGTCAGTCGACCCGTGGCACCTGGGTCTGCCCCGTGACCTCCTGCCAGCGGGCGTTCGACACTCCACGTGGCCTCAAGGTGCACATGTCCTGGCACAAGCGTCGTGGTGACGTCACCGCCACTTAGTGGCGAATGGCGGTTGTTGTTGTTGTGTGTCTGTGTGTGTGTGGAAGCGTAACGCATTGTAGTGTAGTGGTTATCGCGCCGCGCTACGAACCAGGCGACCCGAGTTCGATTCCCGCTCACAGCCACCACCGGTGACGATTATTTTAACCGGTCCTGGGCCTCCCCTAGGTCGACTCAGCCTCAAACGAGGAACTGTTGTGGTGTGAACATCGCCACTGGGGAGACAAAGGCGGTCGGGTGTGGTGAATCCAAGTCCCGGGCGAAGCCGGGTAGTACAGCTAGCATTTTATAAATGTAATTCTCATCAGGCCCCAAGGTATATCGTGTAGCTTCTCTTCTCTGGCAGCATTTACTTAAAATGACAGTGTGAAATGTTAATCTGTACTCTGAGCTATATTTGTACATTGTGTATTGCATTGGGCCAGTCTCTAATTATAAAACACATCCACACAAAGCATTCCAGAGCAGCTACATACAACCCACAAAGTATACCAAAGGAAATATCTCCCACTGTTGACACAAAGCTGCACCTCTCTCAAGGCAATACCCCAACATCATAAACTCCCTTGGCATTCTGATGCAGGCAAAACAAAAAGAGAGAGAGAGATCCCTTCCACAAATAAACACTGGCCCAATGCATGGTTGCTTTTTCCGTACATGTTTACTGTTCAACGTAACCCAACGCTGCCACGTTCCTTATCTAATGTGGATGCCAGCTGCCCTACGCTGGCTCATCTCCCTGGTGAAATCACAGAGCCAGCATTCACAAACGACCAGGGGAGTTGCTTTGCAATTCTGATTGCGCACATGGGTCCACGCAGCTCTGTAATCCTTCAAAGCCCTTAGCACTCTAATTAAGTTTGGCACAAATTGCATCAATCAACTTTGAGGTACGTAACAGATTTGCAAACCTAACCGGTAATTTTAAAACTAAATAATGGTATTGCGTTTAAGGTAGCGGATATTATGGGTCATGTAATTTTATAATTATTGCGTTGCTGTTCTGTGAAAACGTTCGCTTGCTTTAGAGGCCTTCATCCAGCAATGGACAGTGGTTGACGGTATTGAACTGTTTTAGCAGCAGTAATGGTGTCACCCCAAGCAAATGTCCTGCGAGTTAATATGGACAGCTTTCAAAATATCAGGATATGATGTATATTGCTCATTGCAATGCACAAGGGTGATTGCACAATATCCATTAGCGCTCAGGACAGCGGACACAAAAAGCTACCGCATCGCAAAAAGCCACCACATCACCGCTTTGTTTGGCCATATGTCAGCACCTCCCACTGAACACTTACTCCCACAAGGATATGAGACGATGAAACACGAAGCGTATTTATTATTCTTCACTATTAGGTTAGTTAACTTAAAAAGAGAAATGTGGTCATGGTAGAAAATCTAACAAGCTAA